TTTACTCAGGCCGAGAAGGAGCAGGAGCTGCTGGGGGAGACCAAAGCTGAGCAGGAAGCTAGCGTGAGAGCTAGGACTGAAGCGCGTCAAGAGCTGGATGCCGAAGTGGACAAGCTCCGAGTGGAGCAAAGCCGTGCAGTCATGGCTTCTGAAGAAGCACGAGAAGCGCTAGAGCTTGCAGAAGCAAAAGAAAAAGTGACGCATGAGTGTGAGGAAGCTGCTGCCAAGGAGATCAAGAACTGGGAAGCCTTGTTGGAACAGCGAGAAAAGGACAGGGTTGATTATTCAAATATTCCTTGGGAAAAAGTTTGTTTTGGTTTGTTTTGGACCTATGGAATATCCTGAACCTCTATCCTGAACAGAGGAATCTGTCATCGGGTCGTTCTCTGGTGGACCATCTCAATTCTTCGCAGGAGATTTTTGCAGAAAGCGAAATCCGTGAACGCGCTCGCGATGCCGAAGCGCTGGTGCGCTACGAACAGCGGGAGAAGGAACTGCTTGTCCCAGCGATTGCCTTGGCGAAGGCTGAGCGGGAAGAAGCTGCTGCAGCTCGGGTGGAAGCCACTGAGCATGCCATGCAAGAGGTGCCAGACACAAACACAGACAAAGCAGCTCAGAATCACAAGGATACAAACTGTTGAAATTGAATTTGCCGCAATTTTCAGTTTTGCATAGTTTGTTGGCAGGTGGCCTTGGAAATGGAACGCTTGCGTGAAGGTCAAAGCATGGCTGCGCTGGCTCGATCTGAGGCACAAGAGGCACAAGCCGAAGCGCTAAAGCAGGAAGGCAGGGAGGTGAGTCAGGAGTCATGCTGCTGGCCTTGTGGATAGGGGAATCATGGAAAGTACAAGTTGTGAGGTTTCCCTGCAAGGTCAGGTGCAAAGAATGGAGCTTGAAGTGGCAGAGGAGGTGACCAAATGGGAATCTCAGCTGGCGGACAAAGAGAGAGGGGCATTGAGTCGCTATGCAGCTTGCTTGATGATTGATGAGTTTGATTGTGGGTCAAAAGCCTTTGCGATCCCTTGTTGTTTGGGGATGGTTGGATGGTTGGTTGCTTTGTTTCTTCTCATGCTTGACCCTCTTCAAAG